CCCCCCCACTGCACATGTAGACGGACGGCTCCTTTTTAAGGATCCCATCAAAGGTCTCGTATCGAACGCCTCAGGACTCCGGTACAGTCTTAGACGCAGAAGAGTTACAGGAGGAGTTGAGCGAGGGAGAAACCCACTCGCTCAACCTTCTGCTCCGCGCGGTCGTCAGAAGGGAGAAGGGGAGAGGGGGTGAGGGGGTGGGACAGCACTGTAACGTCCTCGCTTGTGGATGGGAATGTGTGTGTGTGGTGGACTCGGACCTTGTTCGGTTATTCTCTTCCCTCCTTCTGTCGTATGTCTGTCCATGGGTAGCAGAGAGATCATCGGCTCGTAGCTCCATCACGATCGGCAAGGAGGAACAAGGAGAGACGAGGCGAAATCGCAAGAAGGGGGGGGGGGACCGGGGCTTCATTGCCTAGCTCTCGTTGAGCCAATACCCTCCTCAACATGCCTTTATAGCACATCACACGACTATCCACGCACACACACACACACGCACGCACGCACGCACGCACACGCACACGCACGCACACACACTCACACACACACACGCACGCACGCACGCACGCACGCACATACATGGACGTGTCAAGTGTAGATCTCTCTCTCGTACTCTCGTTCTCAGTATACACTCGCCGCGGCGCGAGTCATCCCCATGTCGTAGCTCCATGCTGTATTACACGAGCTCATCATGCCTCATACCACAACATGACGTACACCTTGTATCGCAGAATGAGACGGTACCGCCCTTTTCCCCCTTCCTCCTCCTCCTCCTCCTCCTCCTCTTCCCCTTCCTCCTCTTGAGGTGGCGCGCCCCCACTCGATGAGGAACCGCTACTTGTGGCCACGCGCACACCGGTACTCGACGGGGAGGGAGGGAGGACTCCGCACCACCAAGAGCAGGCGAGGGGTGAGGATAGCCAGAGAGAAGCTCCGAAGACTGGAGCCTGCATGCATTCTACCAGTAGGCAGAAGAGATCCCCAAGGGCCTCGATCCTGTCGGCATCGGATAATGGAAACGTCCGACCGCTAGTCGGATCCTACATATGTACGAGTACACACCAGATGGCTACGCCTTCCCCCCCCCCGGCGACCCCTTCGGTCTCTTTGTTGTGACGAGAGTCAATCTTGTTCTCGTCTCCCTACTGCCCTCTCTCCTAGTAACTAGTAAGTCCATCTCGATACCTCACCTGGACACCTCTGGAAGAAAAGAAGAAGAAAAGGAAAGAGTTTGACGATGGAAGAGGGGGGGGGGGGTAATGTATAAGTGGTGTATATGCAGGTAATTCAACGTCAGCCAACTGTATAGGTCGTAGACTCATCCTGTTCATCCATGAACTTGCAAAGCTCTATACAATTAAACATGTTGCAACCTGGTATATATATATATATATATATTGCAATTTAATACATCACATGATATCAGCCTTTACATATGTGGCTACCTGGCCCGGCGGCCATATATAGAGGCCAGCCCTAGGTGGATTAGAGTATGGAGGGTGGACCAGGCTCTCTCTCTCTCAGGCTTTCTCTCCTCTCGATCCTTCTCCTATCGTGACTCCCTATCCTTATATAATCATGCTTTCTCCATCGTAGTACCTCTCTTTATCATCATCTTGTAACGTGATCCCTCTTCAAGTCCATGTACTAGTAACCATCTCACGAGGAGTATATATATATATAATATATATATAATGTGAGAAAGAAGAAGGAGAGATGTAAAAAAAAAAAAAAAAAAAAAAAAACAATGACCAACATCCATCCTTCATTCTAACACATCCCATCTCTATTTTTCAGACCCCCTTTTCTTATACGCATATGTAGAGTGACATCCTAGGGGACACGGCACCAACGCACCAAACACAACAGATCCCTGCCACTTGCAGCCAACGACTAAGGCCTCTTGTTAGGTGACCAGCATATTGGCCAAGAGGACAAGGCGGCAAGCAACGGATACAATTCGCGAGAATGGCGCACTCCTTTCTTCTCACCTAACGCGAGTTACACCGGTTTCTCCTCCTTCTTCTTCTACAACTTTAGAATACCCTGTCTTCTTCCGGGTATCACTACAACAAGAGAAGGAGAGGAAGAGAAGGAGAGGAAGAGAAGGAGAGGAAGAGAAAGAGAGAGAGAGAGAGAGAGCGTACATACGCAGGACAATCATTTCCCAGCACAAGGAGTCGAGATAATGCCTTGCTGAGCAACCGCTCCGCCTCCCCTCTCTCCCCAGTTGGCTGTGGCTGTCTGAAAACCCCCAACCTCGACCCCGTGTGACGACGAGGAGACAAGCGACGTCAAAGACACGACAGGGGCATGTCGACTACCTTGCCAAGAGTACTTTACTCTGCTACCGGAGCATTTCCTTATTTCCTCACATCAACGAGGCAAATTATCGAGGCTGCCGATGGAGACCACTGCATATCATTTTAACTAGTAAATAATAGCTGATAGTGGCAGCAATACTACTACTGCTGCTGTTCTAGGTAATGGTAAGCAATAGTTTTGTACTGGGTACGCGGTGTAGCACACCACCTTCATGATCTCATCACCAAATAATACTCTCTCTTAATCTTGGCCAAAAAAATGCTGCTATGATACCTCGTATTCATCAAAAATAAGAATATGCTACATCACTTCTTTTATACCTCATCTGATATCTAGGTCATACTGCTAAAAAATGTAAGAGGAAGTAAGTAAGATGTAGAAGACAAACGTGTAAAAGTTGAAGAAGAAGAGGAGGAAAAAAATGAACCCTGAGAGAGAGAGAGAGAGAGAGAGAGAGAGAGAGAGAGATGAAAAGATATGAAAAAAAACACAATATTTTCCCTTGCCTACCGTCATCCA